CCCCAAAACCCCAAAACCCCAAAACCCCAAAACCCCATCAAGAAGGATTAAAATTAGTTCAATTGATAATAAAATGATGATGTAAATTTCATATATCTTCATCTAAATGAGGGAAATTCCACACAAAATCTAATTATTTGAGCTCTGCTAAGTCTTTTTAATTTTGTTCTGCTAAAGTTAATCCTAAAACAGAGCAATTATTTGGCATCTCAGTGATTCCCTAATCATAAAGATAGCTTGTAATCACTCCTCCATGTGTGAAGATTAAGTGATTTCCAGTGTTAAGTTGTCCGAAATATCTGGCAGCTCGTTCTTTAACTTGTGGCCAGCTTTCACCTTGAGGGGCTTGGTAAAGAGGGTCACTAAGTTTTTGCTTTTCCTCTTAGCTAAGTCCATCATAATGTAAACCTTCATGAGCACCAAAGTTCAACTCTCTTAGAGCAGATACTTACTTAATGATTTCTTCATCAGAAGGAAATCCCAGAGCATAGAATGCAGTGTCTGAGCATCTTTAGAGATCAGAGCTATGTATGGTTCTAAAATGATCTTAATATTTAGAAAGAACTGAGTTCAGTGTAAACGCCTATTTTCTGCCGAAATCACTCAATCTAACATCCATCCAACCAGTGATAGTGCCAGAGAGGTTACCTTATGATTCAGCTGATCTGACTAGGACTAGTCTTTTTTAGGCTTAGGTTGAAGTTTAGAGGAAGCTAGATAGTTTAATTTCAAGTTATCGTAAGTCAATGTTTTTCATATTTATAATTAAAAAATAATGATTTTTAAACTTCTTAATTCTTCTCATCTTTTTTTTTACTCTTATACACATATATAAACATTTAAATTAAAATACCATCAATATAATGCTCCTCAATCAGATGCTGTCACTGAATTCTAGTTTCTGCATTAATTTTCTCTCAGTAAGGTCTGAATCCACCTCTCCCTCTGCCTCTTCCTCCTCTGTTCATCATCAACTAAAGCATACTCATTAGCTAAACTGCGGGATTCCTAGCACCTCTGCTTGCTCTGCCTTTTCCAGGTACATTTTTCCTTTTAGGTATAACTGTTATTTGACGACCTTTGAAGAGACTATCTGACAATCTCTTGGCTTTCATAGCACCTTCTTAAGTAGCGAATTCTATGAAAGCATGACTAAAATTATGTTGCTTAATACATTCATTATATTTACCCTTTTGGTTGATTTGATAACTTATCAACAGGAATGGTAACTCTGCGAATTTCTCCGCATTCTTTAAAATGATCCTTTAGCTCAGCTGGCTCTGCACTATAGTCAACGTTTTTGACAAAAACAGATCTCTCATCGGCATCATCTTAATCATCCTTATCTATCAATAAATTAATAATGATTCCAATATTATTATTATTTACTTTCCTCTTATTCGTTCTACTACTGCTCCATCTTTTTCATTTCTTCTTGCTTTGACTGAAATTCAGCAAAGCTCTAAATAGATAAAAATCCTATAATTTACATCTTTAGTTGACTAGTCAATAGTTATGGCGGGAGTTAGCTGAGTCTTTTCAGGATCCACTGCTGAAATTTGATTTGATTCCATTAATCTAATTATTAATTTATAATTATTTGAACTTGAAATTTATTTTAATGGCTTAAAATAAGAAAAAATTGCCTGAAGCCGAAAAGTAACTCAATCAGGAGCAAGAAGCTGACAGAATCGCTGAACGTAATTTATTTCATATTAATCTAAAATAGTACTAAGAGAGAGGTGTGCCTAAGCTGTTGAATCTGTACAGGCTGCTGAATAAATTATAGATATTTTATCCACTAATGGTGGCTAGCATCTTTATGACAAATATTTGCTAATAAAAGACAGACCTCATTGTTCTGTGAGAATGATACAATTTTTCGAAGAAGGAATTTAGGTAAGTCATAATTTTTAGTTCTAACTCTATAAAGTTCTCTTTCTTTCCTGGAGATCCCGGAGAGGTAGAAGAAGATTTTGACATTAACTGGAGCGCTGATCAAGAGCCTGTAAGTTTAGAATGATTTTATAAATTTTGAATGTCAACAGATCGAATCAGAAGTAGATCACTGGGCAACCAAAATCGTCAAAACAAAGCAGATTGTTAAAGTTGAAAACTAGATAGATGATGCTCAATCTTCAAGTAGATCAAAGCGAGCTTTATCAATAGCATCATCTAGAAAAAATACTGTTAAAGTTAGAAAAATTACAGCAAACCGAAATGATTAAGATTAAAAATCAAGGCTCGGTGACTCGATGAGAGAAAGATCTGAAAGAAAAGAGAACCAGAATATCAATGTGAATTTATCTTCGTAAAATACATTAGCTAACAATTAAAATACTTACAACTTAATTCCATTGGATGTTGATCCTCCAAGAGAAATTCCTGATCAAGAAAAGATTTTAAGAGATCGAAAGGAAAGATAACTGAAGATGAAAGAACTTGTAACTTTTTAGTTTTTATATTACTATTAAGGAAATAAAAGAGTAAAGAGAAAAAGAAGAGAGAGAAAAGTAAAGATTGAAAAATAAGCAGGATGCATTTGCCGAGATTGAGAAGAGCGAATATACATACGATCATAATGGAAAGATTATCATGGTCAAGAGGCCAAACATTAGTAAACTCCCAAGTGCTTAGTCAGTATCCTTAGAGGTTTAATTGCATGGTAATACCTCGATGAGTTCTTAAAAAACGATGTCATAAGTACCAATGAAGACTAGGACAAGACTTCAAAGTGCTAAATAACCCCTACAGCAGGAAATGAAAGTGATTAAAGAAAGTAAAAAGGAAGAATCAATCTTATAAGAAGTAATTTTATTGTATCATTTTTTTATAGAAAGCAGAATAAGAGCTCTAAGATAATTATGACAAAATATTCAATGCATAGGAAGAATCATTGAAAGAATATGGTTTATAGAAGGAACCTTTCTCTGTATCAGCAGGGATAGTCCTAACAGATAAAGAAGGTAGAAAAACTAAAGGTCCAAATATTGACAGAGAAAATAAAATGACACTCTAAGAGTATCAAAAAGTAGCCCAGCAGTTTGATATCGATGATAAACTTAGTAGAATAGGATCTGGTAAGAAACTTAACAGCCAAGAAATTATGCAATCATAGCTAGATGAGATACAAGAAGATTAAGGATCATTCGACATGCCAGGAAATCGTAGGTCAGCAGAAAGAATTATGAAAAATTATGGTGCTGATGAAGTTTATGACAGAGAATTATCGTACACTTAATATAAGATAAATATGAAAGCCAAGAGGAAAGACCTAAAATCAGCAAATGTCAAGAATCTTAATGAGAGAGTTCTCGCTTAGCATAACAAAGATGTCAGAATAACTTCTGCCAAGTAACAATAAGATGTCAGAATAAGGAGAACACCTTCTAAGCTTGGAGTTAAAGAGAGAATATTTAATTATGAAAGCAACATCGGTGGTATTGACTTTTCATCCAATATATACGGGTCTTAGATCTCTGAAAGCAGACCTTAATCAGGTCACCCAAATATCTAAAACATGTAGAGCAAGAAAAGTTTGAAACTAATCAATAATAAAGTGGGGGCTGCTTCATCACTTATTGACGAGTTCAACAAAAAGCTTGTTGAAAAAGGAACATCAAATATGGTATTGGCTACTGAAATGCCTGAAGCTTCACTATATCTAAGCTAAAAGAAAGAAAGACCATAAACAAGCAAACCAATGTCTAATTCAAAGAAAAGAATAAATGCAAATGATATTTCAGATACAAATCTTCTGAATAAGCTTTCAGATTTAGGAAGGAACTCGGTAATCACAGCAAATAATACTGAAACTGGAGGATTTCTTAATAACAAAAGTGTCCAATAGAAAAAAGCACCAAGGGAAAGGATTATTTCAGCTAAGCTGCCTAGAGATAAAGAAAAACTGCCTCCACCTCCAGTTGGAAAGACTATGGGACATGGACTGCTTCTAAAAGGGCAGAACAGGAAGTGAATTAGAAATAATACTAAAGTTATAGATAAATGTCTGAATACTATGAATATATTAGATAATTAAAATAACCAAAGTCTAATGTTCAATGAATAATATAATTTCAACAAAAGTTTCTATAAATTCGCACGTCATCGATTGATGAGGTGATAGAAGTCTCAGTTACCAAATTGACTATTTTCATCTCTAAATCCACTGTTATTATCTCTAGAGTTGCTGTATCTTTGAGGATTCATGAATTGGCTTTAATCCATGTATAACTGTTCAATACTGTTACGGTCAAATAAATCACTGCTGGAACTGAGTCTTTCCATTTGATTAGGTATTATTTCATTCTAAGTAAACTAATTAAATTCATCTTATTGCAATTGCTGCTATTGCGAAAGTAAATTGTCACTAACATTTTTCAAAGGCTATCTTCTGATGGATAGTTAGCTTTGTTTCTTCTAGTAGCTGCTGAATTGAACTCTGAATACATCCTTTTATTACTGCTGTTAAATTTACAATGATCCCACTTATTACTGAGTGTTTTCTTAGCCAATCTTACTTAATTTGTTAGATAATACATTTTGCATTATGTTAGGATGCTGGTTTTCTTTATCTATTACAATGTGCATATGAGACTTATTCTTGGACTATCTGGCAGAAGAATGAGGAAGATATGGAATATCTGCATCCTTTGAATCTTCAATGTCAACATTCATTCTACTAGGAAGATATTGCTCCTAAATCATTTCAAAAGACGAGGTGTTGAATGGTTTCATGAACTTTGAATGATCATAGCTTTCAAAAGACTAATGTTCTTCTAAGTAAATATAGAGACTATCCTGCATGATTTCTTAGATTTTGCTCTCAATTTCATCTTATTCTTTCTATATATTTAATCCTCTGTATGAGCTTCCATTCATGTAATTTCCACAACTACTCCTCAAGGGTTGCTACTAAACTACATTTTAGTTCTATCCCTAGTAAGTAGATTGCTATGATCTAGAATTTCTTCTTTGAGCATCTTACTAAGAATAATTTGCATTGTAATTAGTAGACTATGAGTAATTTGATGACTAATCTGTTTAATTTTTCTTTGTAAGATAGTTATTTATTTGAATAAACACATAGCTCTCTTACTTTTCTTACTCTAATTTCTCATAAAATGTTAATACTAGTTGTTCTTATGCCTTTCTTTTGAAGTTTCTGAAATGACGGCTGCTCAGAATTTCCTATTCATGCAAGCAAATAAAGTTGATGCAGTACTTCTCTAATTGATCAGCATTATGAGCATGAGCAAGAAGGAATATCTATAAAGCACTCTTTTCATTTACATACTTCTTTAGGTAGCTTGAGCAGATATCAATGAGTCTAGGAAGTAGGAAGTAGTCTGCATACATCATTAGCTTGATAAAGAACTCAGCTTCATATTTCTGGATGTAGAAATGATCTGAGTAGATATATTGTATGATACATGAAAAATAGAGTTTGGGAACTCCAGTAACTCTTATGTAACCGCTTCTGTCAACCAGAGATTCCTTGAATGAGTACTAAGAGGAAAGCATTGAATTGAAATAAGGACATCTAGCTGAAAGGACTATAGTATTTGCTTTAATAAGGGTATCTTCAACATGGAACAGAACATCATAAAATTCATCAAGATTTTTGCATTGATTCATCAGATGCTAGGCTTTATTTTGAAGCCTTTCTTGTCTATCCTCTGGTGACTAGATGTGAATATCATCCACATGTGAAAAATCTAGTTTAACTGTATCCTCCATTTTCTTGAGACTTGCTCTTAGAGCTTGCTTATTCTCCTCTTCTTTGATATTATTCATATCTTGATTGGGGAACACTTGCTGCAAGTCTTGAATCAGTGTCTACTTTAGTCTCATTTAACCATATTCAGCTTTTTTCCTCAAGAACTAGTAACTGTAAAAGAGTCCTAGATGCTTAAAAACTTCGCACACCTTCTTGACTTAGGTGGTAGTGATCATTTCAATAAATCTGTCACAATATAAGTATTCTAACACTTTCAAGAATGTTTGTTTACATGAAATACCTTTAAGATTTATCTCATCACCTTATTTGGATAGATAAACATTCCTAATAAATTCACTGACATTGGTATTGTTAACAATGTTTCTAAATTTCTATTCTTCATGAAGCTCTGCCTAAAATTCGTTTTTGATAAGTCTGAATAGGACAAGTGCCTTATGAGCAGGAACTTTTTGTTCTTAAGGATTATCCAAGATAAAAGTAATATCTGTGTTTTGGTCAGATCCAACTAGTTTCAGATAGTCGAAGTTGATTGAAGAAGTTTAAATATGAATGATTTGCTTGCTAGCTGATTGTAAATCAAGAATGTGTAAGTCATCGAAAAAGCTTCCATCAAAGCCTCCAAACATAACAATAGCACCACTAACAAATAGAGCAGAGTGTCTTCTTCTTGGCTTGGGCAAAGGCCCATAAATTTCAAGTTGTTTCCAACTGTTCTTCACTGGATTGTACTCATGGATATCGTTTATGTCGTTCTCATTTCTTCCTCCAACAATGTACAGCTTTCCTTTGTAGTTAGTAGCAGCATGACCCCATCTAGTTGAAGGAGTTCCTTGACTTACATTAATTTATTTGCATTCTATCTGAGAAGCTTCGAAAGTATCGGGATTTTTCAAGAAATCGGACAGATCAAATGAATGCATTTCATTCAGATGAACGTACTCATTATGACAACCTCCAAATGTTATAACTTAATGATCGTTGATTGTAGTGACCGTATGGAATCTCTTTGCAGCATAAAGGTCTAAGAAGTTGATTTGAGGGTTGTACCAGATTTTCCTCTCTAAATCTAAAGCCCAGAGATCCTTGAGATCAGTAGTTGCCTCGCCTCCCACAATAATCATATACTTTCCCAAAAGACATGAAGCATGATATGTTCTAGCCTATGGCATAGGAGAGTTTTCAGCTAAGCTTAGTTTCTCTACTTTGAGCGTCTTGTGCCCTCTTCGGGAACTAGTGCTTTCTATAAACTCTAACTTGATTGTATCATTAAATCTCTATTTTTATGCTTGACCTCCTCCGAAGACATAAATTCTAAGGTAAAAGTTAGTAAATTTTCGCAATCAAGAAATTTGAGTCTGAAATAAATGTTTCAACTTACGAGTTATGCTTTTCATAAAAGATTGCGGTGTGATTAGACCTTGAGAGTATATCAGGTTCAGCAGTGTCTAGTCTCATCTCTGTGTACTATAAGGTTGCGAAGTCGAACTCCCAGACATCTCCGAGATAGGAACCTATTGAATTTATCGGATAAGAAAATGTAATTTGAGAAAATATTAGCTTACCTTCATAGCCTCCGATTATGTAGAGTTTATTATGAGCAGCTACGCAAGATTAGCCCCACCTTTTTGCGGGTTTAACAGAAGACTGATTATGGCTTATCGAGTCATCAGTGTTTCTAAGCTAGTCAGGGTTGATCCAATACATTTAAAATTCAAATTTATAACAAACTCTCAATTATTTTTAATTAGCTAGCCGCTGATACTTTACTTTTATCTTGATACGTGGGGTTTTGGGGTTTTGGGGTTTTGGGG